CCTCCTCCCAGGGATGGAGCTCTGAGGAGCTCCAGGATTGCTCCTCTGCACCTCCTCCCAGGGATGGAGCTGTGGAGCTCCAAGCTCTGGACATCCCAGCGCAGTGTTACAGAAAATCCCTGCACGCTCTGGGCAGCCTCAAGGCTTTTGCAAGGCACAGCAGGAAGAAGATCCCTGCCTTCCAGTTTGTTCCCACTTCCCAGGCTCTGAAGGCCTGGACGGAGCAGGGAAGATCCAATTTCTGCCCAGAGGGATAAAGGCAGCCTGTTCCTGCTGCAGCCAGGGCTGCCTGCGACACAACCCACCTTGTTCTCGTTGTACAGAGTGTCAAAATCCGAGTTGACGAACAGGATGTTTTCCGGCTTGAGGTCAGTGTGGGTCAGCTGGTTGTCGTGCAGAACTGCCGAGGCAGGAGGGAAAAGCCTCTCTAAGAACCCGAGAGAAGCACGGGCACGGCCCCGTGGCAGCAGAGCCGCCCCCAGCCCCGCTGGGTCACTCACATCTCAGGGCGTGGCACAGCTGGTAGGCCATGTGCCGGATCTGCGGCAGGGGGTAGGGCTGGAAGTTGTTCTCCTTCAGGAACTCGAAGGTGTTCTTGCCCAGGAGCTCAAAGGCAATGCACATGTGGCCGTGGAAGTTGAACCAGTCCGACATGAGGACGCACAGGCTGCGCAGGGAGAGAGGCAGGGCTCAGCCAGCTTTAGGGATGCTCAGGAGAGCTGCTGTGTTCCTGGCCACTTGAGGAGTGGCTGGGGAGCAGAGCTCCGTGCCAGCAAGCCAGGGAGATGCTCCCTGCTTTGCTCAGCCACCTTTGGAGAGAGCTGCCCAGTTCCTGGGGGACAAGGCAGCAGAGTGTCCTAAATTATAATATTGGCGTTTATTCCATTACCACCTCCAGCTGCAATTCCTTTTTTTTTTTGTCCCTTATCTCGTGACTCAGAGATAAGTCCCTCCAGCATGACTGATAAGATCACAGCATTCTATTTTGAGATGTTCCACCCAGAGGGAGGAGCCAAATGATGTCCCTCCAGGAAGACCCATTCTTTTGGCCACATGACTGATAAGATCACAGCATTCTATTGTGAGATGCTCCGCCCAGAGGGAGGAGCCAAACGATGTCATCAAGGATATAAGCGGGGTTGTGCAGACAGCAAGGAGATCCCGTCTTCCCAGAGGAACAGCTGAGACCTTCTCTACACTGGACCTCCAGAGGGAAACTACATCAGTCTACAGGACCACTGCTTGGACAGAACCATATCTGCCACCACTGCCCTTGCCAGCAAGTGTCAGGTTGTATCTCAAACTCTGTCAGTTGTTCTTCTTTTGTGCTATTGCATGTATTTAGTTCTTCATTCCGTTTTTCCTAGTAAATTGTATATCTGACTTAGAGCCTCTCACTGGTTTTGCTCTTCAAACCAGGACACAGAGGAATGGGGCCACTTTCCCCTCACCCCATCCTCAGCCCTGCTTTGCTCTGTGTGCCAGGACGTGGCACTGGGAACTCACAACTTGTTGTCCTTGTCCTTCTCTTTGATTTTCTTCAGGACGTTGATCTCCAGCCTGGCAGCCTCTCGGTACTTCCCGACGTTCTTGATGATTTTCAGAGCCACCTGGGATTTGCCTCTGGAAGGGAGGAGGCAGCAGGATGGAGTCCGAGGGGGAGCCTGGGTGCTCAGCCCANTCTCACTGGTTTTGCTCTTCAAACCAGGACACAGAGGAATGGGGCCACTTTCCCCTCACCCCATCCTCAGCCCTGCTTTGCTCTGTGTGCCAGGACGTGGCACTGGGAACTCACAACTTGTTGTCCTTGTCCTTCTCTTTGATTTTCTTCAGGACGTTGATCTCCAGCCTGGCAGCCTCTCGGTACTTCCCGACGTTCTTGATGATTTTCAGAGCCACCTGGGATTTGCCTCTGGAAGGGAGGAGGCAGCAGGATGGAGTCCGAGGGGGAGCCTGGGTGCTCAGCCCATGGGGAGAGGCACACCCTGCTCCTGCAGCCATCATCTGTGCTGACGGAGCTCTGCCAGCCCTCCGTGCTGCTCGGGCAGGGGCAGACTGGCACTGCCACTCCGGGAAAGGTCCCTGCTGGCTGTCCCTCCCGAGGGACCCTCCTGTCACAGCAGGGCCCCCTCCCCTCTCCAGCCATGCCCTGGGAGCAGGAGAGCTGCAGCAGCCTGACCCCAGGGCTCGGGGCCACACAGGTCAGAGGGGCACGGGGGTCAAGTGGAAGCACGGGGGAGGTTGAGGCAGAATGGAGAGGAGGTGCCCTGGCAGGTCAGGAGGTCACAGGGGCCACCCCCAGCAGGAACACAACCTCCATGGCT